AGGAAAGGGAATTAGCGAGAGCAGTGCAGGAAGGAAGCACATTTCAGATGGAGAGCGGCATACGGAAATGTTCTGTGTTGGGATAAAGTTGGTTCTTCTGAAAGACTGGAAGGCGGCTGACATGGCTTAAGAATAGAAAGAGATTTTCTTTTTCTCTTTTGAAACAGTGTCCCGCTCTGTCACCCAGGCTGGAGTGCAGTGGTGTGGTTTTGGCTCACTGCAACCTCCACCTCCCAGGTTCAAGCAATTCTCGTGCCTCAGCCACCTGAGTAAATGGGATTAGAGGCATGTACCGCCATGCCCAGCTAATTTTTGGATTTTTTAGTAGTGATAGGGTTTCACCATCTTGGTCAGGCTGGTCTTGAACTCCTGGCCTCAAGTGACCTGCCCACCTCAGCCTCCCATGCAAGAGATTATCCAATTTTATTCCAGTTGCAATGGTAAGTTATTCAAAGGTTTAAGCAAGAAAGTAATAACATCTACGTTTTTAATATATCACTCTGGCTGCTATGTGGGAAGTAGACTAGAAAGGGACAGGAATGGTGGTAATAGGTTCAGTTAGAAAGTCTCTTCTAACTAACTGAACAGGTGACAGTTGATGGTGACATGTCCTAAGATGGTAGCGGTAGACAGAGAGAGTGGCGGCTGGATTACAGATATATTCTGGAGATGGGACCAGGAGGATTTAATGATGGGCCGAATGTGTGGAGAAATATCTAGGAAGACACACAGATGGTTTCACTTGAGCAACTCAAAGAGTGGAGGTGTTATTTACGAAGATGAATGGCAAAGGTGCAGATTTTGGGTGGGAGCTATAGCTGAAATGGAGAGTTGGGTTTGGATACCCTAAGGCTGAGATGTCTTTCACTGTGTCATGTCATCATTATGCAAAGGCACACACACATCTAGACTGGAGGTGACTGTGTATCGGTGTATCATAGAGATTACCTCCCACCATTAGGATGGATGCAATTACCCAGGGAAAGCATAGAACCGAAGAAAAAAGTCCCAATAAACTTTATTTTGAGATAAGATGGAGATAAAGGAACAGCAGAAAAGTAGCATGGAAGCCAAAAGATGGGACTGGCTCCAGACAGAGGAAGCTGTCAATTACAAGGAATGTGGCTGAAATGGTGAGTCTCTCAAAAGTGTCTGAGGGATTTGGTAACACAGAAGTCACAGACGAACTTAGAGCAGTTTCAGAACGGACAGAAATCAGCTTGGACTAAACTGAACAGGCAACAAAGGTGGGTAGGTACAGTTAAATCCTCAATAACCTTGGCTCTGAAGGAGGAATAGAGGGACAGGCAGGAGCTATCTCTTGAAGGCAAAGAGAAAGCTACAACTTCCTAAAGTTTCACACAGGCCAAACTTTTCCGTATTGGCAGTTGAGATGGTTTCCATATTATCAGCCCTAGGCTGACCATGGAGAGTCCCCTACAGCCCCAGAAGACCCAGAGAATGAGAAGGGCCTTTAGCTATTATCGCCTTCCCCTGTCCTTGGCTTCACCTCATCCATCCCTGGCCCAAGAGCCCCATTTCTTGTTCAAATCTTATTCAGGACACCTCCTCGGTGTTGTACTCCAACATTTGAAACTGTTCTATCATAAACCGTCTTCCACCTCTGTTGGAAAGCTTCTGCATACTCAAGAGGTATAAAGAAAGTATGAAGGGCTTCCTGACACCCTGTCTGGTCGAGAAATCCGACTTTACTCTTTTCCTTTTCCAGACTGTGTTACTGAGGTCCCACCCAACAGACCCCAATCTACCTTTCAAACCTCATCTCCTGCTGTCCTTCTCGAACACTCCAACCAACTTATGCCCCCTTAAAACATCTTCTATTTTCCTACCTCCATATCTGCGCTGGTTTTCCCCTTTGGAATTAGTCCCCCATCCTTGCCTACCTATGACCCATACCTCAGAGTTCACCTTGGGTCCACTCACCTCTAGAACACCCTGCCTGCCCCTGCTCTCTCTTAGGCATTTCTTCCACACTGCCAAAGAGCACTACTTTTCTCTGCATGTGTCATCCTATAATGAGGAGCAGTGAGACTGTATGAATATTCCTCTGTTTTCTTTGGTGCTGCCTGTACAAAAGAAGCACTTGGTAAATGTTTGCTTATTGACAGGTTGATTGAGAAAGTCAGGAGCCCTTCCTCCCCCAGGGATGAAGACTTGCAGCAGTCTGTTCCAAGGCTGCACGAGCAAGATTCACCAGGACCAAATGAGAAATAAATAGGTGCCACAACTATTCACCGCCTTGGTTTCTACAGTTATTTGAGGAAGTGCCATGGCAATGAGTTCAAGTTCAAATTCAGCTCTAGCCATCATGGTCATCGACTACTTCTAATGGGCTTTTAAAAGCCTACTCCCTCCTGGAAAGGTTTAAAATTTAAGCCACAAAACCTCAGGCTTTCTTTCAATCCTGCAGACAGAAGTTTCTCACCATTTTAGGCTGTGGATTTCCTCCAGCACAGTCCTTTTCAAAATATTGAAAAGGTGTTTTCTAAGCCAAACCCTTTCACATCTTGGTTTACATGACAGAACGCTGCACAGGGGTAAAAATGAACTCCGTGGTGTTTTTTACAATTCAGGTATTGGCTAAGTAGACATAACTAATACACTGAAGCGGCTTTCATGCAATATGAGTTCCCTTTAAAAAGTTTACACTGGCAAAGTTTTCAGCGAATAAACATCTTGTGGAAATTGGTTCTTTCAAATCTGGGCTCCAAAGTGGCCTTAAACACACAACAATTATTTCCACCATGAAGAGACAGGTAGACTGCAGACACAAATCTATAATAATATGCTTTATGATTTCTTTGGGGTCTATTTTTGCTCTCCTACATCTCCATGAAAACCAAGAATCTTAAAACACCAAAAGCGGCAGTTTAAAAACAAAACCACTTTCCAAATCCCAAATGCAAGGATTCAGTGGGGAAGGGTCAGGAATCCTCTCACGGATTCACATCCATTAAAGTTGGTTCCAGTGAGGACACAACTTCCCTACAGATTCCAGGAAGTTAAACTACCATGTCTGTTTATATCTCAACTTGACTTCTCCTAAGGTAAAATAAGTTTTACGAAAAGAATTTATATATATATATATATATATATATATATAATTTTTATATATATATTTGCTTTTGATTTACTGATTTGTAAGAGATATGAGGCAACAGAGAGTTCTGTTGCTCAGTCTTGGGAAAAGTGAGGCTGCTTCTGCACTGTCATTCCTGGCCTCCTTTACCAGGCGCCCCAGGCTGTTGGGGAGAGCAGTTACTGTCCTCCAGTAAGATTATCCACTGCCATCACGGCGAGGCCAAGGAAATGAGAGGCAGGGCTCATGCCCTGCCCGTGGCTTTCTCTGACTTGGCTGGAAATAGATTTACTTCAAAAAGAAGTTTTAAGAGACACACGTGTTCACATACAATCATTCTTTTGAGGGCGTGTCTGTTTTTAAATGTCATGATTCACCCAAAATAACATATCCCCCATTTCTCACATCTAGCTATCTTTCAGAAAGAATAATACAACGTGTGGAGGCATACTGGAAACTGGGCGCCACATTTCTTCACTAGAAATCGAGTTTTCTCTAGCATTAAGCTTTTGTGCTTAAAGAGAAAAGTGCAAAATCTTTGGGAGGAAAAAACAAAACGACCTGTCAAAATTTCTTTTAGCGCCTGTGACTAGTGTTAACTTACATGCTCTCAATGTGCAGTAAAAAGCCTGCAAACTGCTGCTAAAAAGAGGGTTTGACCTTTTAAAATGGGAACTCCCCCACCCCATATCCATATTAAATAGGCGAACCTTGGGAGCTCTAGAGTTTTAGATTAATAAGTGAAATGAGGTTGAATTTCCAGAAAAAAAGGTTTCCCTGTAGGCTGCAGGCTAATTAGGGTGTTCTAGACCTACATTGTAACAGGAGGTAGAAGACAGGCCCTAAACCTTTTAGCCATTGTCGTCACCTGCTCAGAGTCTAGTTCCGAAATAAAGCAGGTGGGGAGTTACGAAAATTTAGTCAATACAAAAGTCCCGGACGCGACCGCCTGCAGCCTGCGGCCCCTGGCGGTTGAACAGCCCCGGCGATCCTGGGTCTCCACCGTAGCAGCCAAGCCTGGCGCGCAGCAACCCGCGCTGCTGAAAGTTGGAGAGCTCCCAGCACGCCGACAGAATTCGGCGGTGGGCGCCGGGGGAATCCCTTCCCGTGCCGCAATTAGGAAAGTTTTGAAAAGTAAGGACCCTAAACAGAGAGGATAACCATCCTTTCCCTTAGCATAAGAAACACTTCGCGACGCGCCAGCCGGAGGCTGCTCGCACAAGGCCATCCGCCCTGCTTGGCTGGGACGCAGCCGGTGCCTCCCAGCTCCCCACCAGAACTGGTCCAGGGGGCGCGGGGACAGAGAGGCAACTCTGTCGGGCTTGCGGTTCCAGAAGGAAACGCCTCCAGGCTCCCTGGCCTGGGGGACAAGGGTTCGAATTCAACAGTCGAGAGGGCAAGGGCAGAACTACCAACTCCTCGGACGCCCGGGACCTGCTATTCCAAGCCCGCTCGCGTTTCTCCAAAGGACGCGCCGCACAGCCCTTGCGCCCCCGGCACTCCACTCCACTCCTCTATGGTTTCCCCCAAACTCTTCCCGGGGAGCCGCACAAAGCACAGACGGCGCCCTGAAACTCGCCGGGCACTCGCCAGCCATCCCCACCTCCGCCTCTCGAACCCTCCTTGTCGCGTTCTTCCCGCCCCGCACCGTTCTCCTCGCGTAGATTCTGAGGAGTCAGAAGCAAACCACGAGAAAATGCCTTCGCGAGGAGCCTCCCTACACCCGCCCTGTCACTGAAACAAAAGCGTAGGGAGGAGGGAGGTGGGAGAGGAGGCGGGAGGAAGGTTTAGAAAGAGGATGGGGACAGCAGTAGGAAGGAGCTGGGGGGGGGGGGGTCAAGGTAGCGAGCAGAGCCGGGGGCGCGGACTCCGCTCCCGTGCCGCGCGGCGGGTCGCTTACATGCCCAGGTCGCTGTAGGTGTTGAAGAACTCCATCTGGTTGCACGCCTGAATCCAGCCCACCACCCAGGTCTCGTGGCGGGGGATGGGGGGCATGACCACGCGGGCGGAGGCTTTGAAGTAGGGGGTCTTGTAGCGCAGGACGATGGGCGAGGTCTCCTCGATGCGCGTGGGGCACTGGTCGATGGTGGCGCACACATCGTACACCACGATGTTCTCGCGCCGGATCCGCGCCTTGCAGGTGATGCTTTGGATACAGCCCATCCTGCGGCCCGGCGCCGGCACAGCTGCGGCGTGGGGCAGCGCGGGGGCCCGCGCGGGCAGCCGGGGGCGCCCGTCACGCCGGCATGGCGACGCGCCGCTAGCTCCCGGTCAGGCTCAGCTCGTACCTAGGAGCCGGGAGCCGCCGCCGGGCATCCTTGGGGAAGCCCCCTCCTCTTGCAGCCGCGCAGGGTCCCCGCTGCCCCGACGCCCGCCCACGCCCGCCCCCTCGCTCCGGCAGGGCGCGCGGAGGGTGCACTCCTAGGAGGCGGCGGGTGCCCTCGCCGGCTCCAGCGCCGGGGCGGAGGGCAGGGAGGGGAGCGGCGCTGCGAGGAGTGGTGCCCACCCCGGGCCGGAGCCCCCCGCCCCTCGCCGGAGAGGAGGAGGCGGCGGCCGCGGCGGCATGGAGCCGGGGGAGGGCGGCGGCGGCGGCAGCGCCCGGTTTGTCTGCCTCCGCGGCGGCAGCAGCAGCAGCCACCGGCGCCGCCGCCGCTGCATGAACCTCTGCACCGCGGCTGCCCCCCGCGTGCAGCGCACCCAGCGGCGGGCGAGCGGGCGGCCCGAGCGGCAGGCGGAGGCAGCAGCGGCGGCGGCGACCCGAGCTCCCGCCGGCCCCGCCCCGTAGCCGGACCGCGCCGACACCCCTCGGTCCGGCCGCCCCGGCCCGGGGGGCGCCACGAGGCTGTGGCCTGGGGTGGAGAGCCCCACCGGCTGGGGCGGCACAGGACGTGCGCCGCGGAGGAAACTGGCTGTACGCCATGAGTTTTGTCCCTCTCCGGCTGCCGTCCGGGTGGGGGGGAATGTGTAAGGGTGGGGGTATTTAAAGGGCCGCTAGCGCCGGGGTGGGGCCGGCACGTGGGGCTCGGGCGGGGCGGGGCCCTGGTAGGTGGCGCCCCGAGGTGGGGGTGGGGGACTAGGGCGGACCCGAGCGCCACAGGGTGGGTGGGGCCGAGCAGGGCGCGGCGCTGTCCAAAGTGGAACTCGGTAGCCCAGTAGGGGCTGTGGAATGAGTGGGGCAGCAGAAGGGTTAGGGGAAAAGCTTGATCAGAGATTGGTCATTACTCAGAATATAGCTTGTTGGATTAGATTTAGGCTTGAGCCCTCTTAGTATCCTGCCTTCAGGAAGGGTGAGGTGCGGGCTGCAGCAATGTTACTAAATGCAGTGGATTTGCCTCTTTGCCTGACCGGGTTTGTTCTGGAAGCTCTTCTTTCCACCATTGTGTGTAGTGGGGGTACCGGAAGAATCCCTCCGTACTCCAACACTAAGTCACCCATATGCCCGACTTTTGGCAGACATTGGGCATTGTGTACAGGATGACACGGTCATATGTCTCCTACTGCAGTCTAATGTGCCAAACAGGAAAAATATTTAGCAGATGCTTTTACTAGGCATCTTCTTACATTTATATTTTCAAAGCGTACAGCATCTAGGTATTTCTTCTCCGATCATTGAACATTTGCTGGATCTGCTGCCCAAGTGTGAAATACCGACTAACAGGCCACAGGAGGTGCTAGAGTTAGTCTTTAGCTAGGACAGGTGTGACGAGTAATTTGAAAATTGATTGAGATCTAAAAGCACTCTTCATCCTTGTTTTAACTGTTCTGACACCTTGCTTCACTTTATAGTTAACAAAAAAGCAGTGTTTCCCTTTGATGACTTATCTCTCTCATCTTACCATGTAGCCACAGACCTCAATCACTGGTCCTTTCATTCAGCAAAGGCTGACTGCCTGCCTGGCAGGAGCCAAGCATAGTGCTAGGTACTAGGGATTCAAAGTTGGACAAGAGCACGTGGATCACGGGAGACAATAAACCTGTTAACAAGTTATTATAGTAAACTGTGACACCTGCTTTAGTGGAGCTGCCTATCCAGTGCTGTGAAAGACCAGCCAGGAGAGCCACGGAGAGATTTATATGAGACTTTGCTCAAGCAGTGACATTTAAATTGAATACTAACAGAAAGAGTCTCACCGAAAAGAGAAAGGTAAATGGGTAGTACAGGACCAGCATTTGGCAAATGCAAAATGCGTAGAGGTATGAAAGAACTCATCATATTCTGGGGGAAGAAACTCACAGTCAAGGCATTTCTCAAAGTCTTATGTGTCGACCATGGACATCAGAATCACTGTCCAAGCATCAGTTGATTGTTGATAGACCATATCTTTTTTATTTTTAAAATTAGACTACAGACTTTTATTTTTATTTTACTAGTTTTTCCACTAATTCCTTTTCTTCCTAGACTCGAATCCAAGATATGATGTGCATTTAGTCATTACATCTCCTTAGTCTTCTCAATCTGTGACAATTTCTCAGTCTTTCTCTGTTTTTCATGACCTTGACATTTTTAAAGAGGACTGGTTAGATACTCTGTAGAATGTTCCTCATTTGCATTTATCTGATGTTTCCTCATGATTAGACCAGGATTTTGGATTTTGGGGATGAATACCATGAAGATGAAGTGCCCCTCTCGTTGCATCATGTCAGGGGTACATGCTAGCAATATGACTTGTTACTGGAGATATTAACCTTGATCACTGGGTTTGGTGAATAATTTTTTTTTTTAACTTTTATTTTAGGTTCAGAGGTACATGTGCAGGTTTGTTATATAGGTAAATTGCATATCATATGGGTTTGGTGTACAAATTATTTTATTACCCTGGTAATAACATAATACCCAATAGGTAGTTTTTTTTTTAATCCTCCGACTTATTCTACCCTTCACCTTTTAGTAGAGCCCAATATCTGCTCTCTTGATAGGACTGTACCTTAAACTTCAGTGGAAGCCAATCAAGGCAAGCATGCATTCTGAGAAAAATTGCTCTGCATCGATATAGAGAATAGAGGACGTGGAGTTTCAGAATATTGTGATGACTGATGCTTTGACCTTCCGCTAGCTAGGGTGGTGCTGTGGGACTGGAGAGGCCTGACTGCATTTGCATTTGAGAATCACTTAGGAGGTAAATTTATTTACTTGGTAACTGAACAAGGAGACAGAATGGAAGCAGCTTGGGATTGTGGGTGAAGTCATGTTAAGTTCGAGGTGCTTGGAGGTGTTTGCGGGGTGGCCTGGGGTGAGATTAGAGTTTCAGTTTCAGTGGTTATTAGGTTCCAGGCAATAGACCAGAAAGAAAGCATTTTACTGGGGAATGTAGTTATCTTTCTTAATTTGAATTGCTTGTCAGGCTGCAGTTTTGTGGATAAATAACTCCTTTGTCTTCTGGTGTGACATGTTAAGCCTTCATAAACAGGAAGGGGAATGGCAACCTTTCCCAAAATATAGGGAAATCACATAAGGAAGAATATCTTATTTTTCAAACTTAAAATAAGATAGTTATATTTAGTAAAGCCAAGAAAATGTAACATTACTCACAAATTTGGACCTTTGACATTCTAAAAGTGTTTATCTGTGACCTTGGTGAGTCTCCAAAATCATGAATGTCATCATGGCATATAATTTCCACCATAAAGTACAGTAAAGTATAACAAAAATGTAAAGAATCTTTGCAGACTCTTAATGGTTCTATGAATATGTGGCCAAAGTAATTTCTAAAGCTATTTAAATACATTTTGCCATTAAAATAAACTCCTTACTCCATTACCTTATATCTTTACCTTATTAACACCCAATTTCCCTGACTCTGCAAAGAAAAAAATTGATCACAGTGTGAAAATTATTGTGCACATGCCGATGAGAAAGGAAGGAGAGCTCAGTGGTACTGGGACACAAATGCCGGTGTTGGGAGTGATCATGCACTAGCTGAGTGGCTGGCAAGTATGTTCCGGCCTCCTGGCAGCCCCATTCAAATTTGTGTCCCAGCAAATTACCTCATGACAGGGACCTTTCGGGTTATTTCGCTGGGGATTTTTATCATGCATGCATATTCAGTCTGCAAATGCAGGGCTATCTGTAGCTCAAATGAAATCCCCAGACTTGCAACAGTTTCTCTGCCGCTGCTCTTCTAAGTTTCTCTTTTTCTCTCCTCATGGTAAGTCCCTTGCCTTTATTAACACCTTTAATGCTATTTCACAGTTGCTTGCTCACACTTGTCTCCCCCAATAAGCTGTTCATTCCTCAAGAGAATGTGCCACCAGCCAGGCGCAGTGGCTCACGACTATAATCCCAGCACTTTGGGAGGCCAAGGTGGGTGGATCACGAGGTCAAGAGATCAAGACCATCCTGGTCAACATGGTGAAATCCTGTCCCTATTAAAAATACAAAAATTAGCTGGGTATGGTGGTGCACACCTGTAGTCCCAGCCACTCAGGAGGCTGAGGCGGGAGAATTGCTTGAACCCAGGAGGCAGAGGTTGCAGTGAGCTGAGTTCGTGCCATTGCACTCCAGCCTGGGTAACAAGAGTGAAACTCCGTCTCAAAAAAAAAAAAAAAAAAAGAATGTGCCACCATGCCCTGTTCCCAGCCTAGTGTGTGGCACCTAGGTGCTGCTCAATAAACATTTGAATGACTAAAAGTATTCTTAAAAACCCTTTAAAACATTATTTCTCATACATTATATTTAGTAGAGTGTTATTCCTAAAATGTAACATGATTCACAGATTTGGACCCTTGACATTCCCTATAAGCTCTGTCTCATCACCTGCAGCAAGCACGTTTTATTCTGATTCTTTCTGCCCTGTACCTCTTTGTCCTCCCACTCTTTTCTTAATGTGCCTTCTTGATGTTAAGTGATGCCCTTTGTCTTCGAGCACTATACATGATCTCAAGGGTTATCAGTTCTAGACACCACGAAATGGGGAAACTCCAATGACAAGACCTTGACAACAATCATTCCTTGTGAATAACTTCATGGAGTTTATTCTCAGGGCACAGCACAAATGATCCTTTGTACTTCAAGCTTCTGATGTTCTTGGGCATGACAGAGCTCCTCAGTTCCCCGAGTGAGAGCCGTGCTGTCCGCTCTCCAGGAGGCTGGCCTCTGTTCTTTACAATCCACTCCTTCAGCTGTAGATGACTCGGTTCTTCCAGAAGCAGGGTGATCTCTGACTTTATTTTTCCTCTTGATTTGTCAATTTGTCAAGAGAGCTTTTTAGAAACTCTGGGTCACAAGGGCCTATTTTCTAGTTGACCTTGCCAAGAGTTTTCAGAAACTATCAAACAGACTACCAAGAGATGTTGAGGACTTGCCTCCGGAGCTGTTAAAACTAGGGAGGGATTTCTGTCTCATTTAGGTGGCCCAAAGGCAAGAGATTAGTCTCAAGTCCAAGACTGCAGGATTAAGGAAACAACTCCTTCCTGGTTGTGAACTCTCCCTACCACCACTTCAGAGCCAGGGTTACTAATTTCTCTTCCAGTACAGACTAAGCAACTCAATATGGAGTGGACTATGGCAATGGACTCAGGCACTTTGCAGAAGTCATTCAGCCCAAGATGTGGCAGCCACTGTGTGGTTCAAGTAGTCAATATTTACCAAGCTTTTTCCGCCAGCCTTTCATCAGATTAGGCCACAGAAACGATGAAGAAGGATGCCTTGGTTCCTCAGCTCCTCTGTTGTAGATCTGCTGTACCTCTCTCTGCCACGTTCAAAGTCCTTTTCTCTGTCCCAATCTGTCAGATTTGACACTCTTAAAGAAAACTACTTTTAATCCTATGAATCTTGATTCTCCTCTTAGCTTCTCTGACTCCTCTTGCTTTTCTCATTTTCCAGGGTCATATTTCCTAAGGGTCTCCCCTCTTCTACCTGAACTCCTCAGGGTACTTATCCATGTTTTAATTGGCGTTTTTCATGGACGTTTTCCAAGTTTG